GCAGGAATGCATGCAAGTTGGTGTCAATGTGGTTAAATTGGGTCCCTCTAGAAAGCACATGCCTCCTAAGTATAGTGCAGTTTAGTCAAATTCTTGGCTCTTTTGTATATCTGTCCACTCTTCCTTCCCTCTCTTTTTCTTGTCTTTCCCCTCCCAACTTTTTCCCTTTTCTCATCTCTCAGTACTTAACCTTCAGGTTTCTGTTTAGTAAACCTACCAAAGTGGAATCAATAGCCTGGTGCTTAATCACACTTTTTGTTGCTCAAAATGTCAAGTTTGGGTTTGTTTGTAGAAGGGCTTCTGCATGTCTTTCATTTTTTAGCTCTTCGCAGGGTGTTCTGTACCAGTCAAATCCATTAAGAATGAAAGCTTTTGCTGTGTCTGATTGTTCTAATTTCTGTTGTGGTATATATGGCATAAATATAAAATTCCAGGTATTGGTTCAGAGTATGAAGAGAAGAGATCTTTCCTGGTACTTTTAAATTTTCTCATCCTTTCTTCCTAGATGAAATCAGTAAGAATCAGTTTTCTAATCTGCTGAAGTAGCTAGGGCATAGTCTAACTACCTGTAAGTAGATGCGAGTGAGTTTAAGCATTCTCTTACACAGAGAAAATGGTCAATAAAGCACAGAATGGTACCAGGCAGCTGTGAGTACTAGTAGAAATTAAATCCTTGCTGAGTTTCTGGTAAAATAGACAAAGCAAGAGACCGTAGCTCAGTGCATCAGCTCCAACTAAGAGCCTGTCAAGAAACTATTTCTTCTTTCCAGTAGTAAAATTCATATGTTTTAGAAACTTGTTTGTGTAACAGGTTTGAAAAGGGGATGAAAACAAAACAGCATATGGAGAGTCGAATTCACATACTCCTGTGCAAAGGAGTACATGAAGGTGGCTCCTGACTGATCTCTTGATCCTTGGACAAAACTGAGGAGAAAGTCTAACAAATGCATCGTTTTGCAGTAAATTAGATCAGATTTCCGCATCTCCGCACTCAGTCTGTGAGCTGACAGTTCAGTAAAATGTTCCCTTGTAAGGTTCGGCCTCTTAGGAAAAGGGGCAATAATTCATCATTAGAATTTCAGAGTCCAGGTGTAGATGAAAACTGATGGAGCCTCCAGCGAGGCAGGGAAAGTGCACAGAAGAAGAAAATTTTATCTGAAGCCTAATTCCCTGGTTACAGCAGAGAATAATTAAGATAATATTGCTTCAAGAGTTCTTTAATGATTAAAAATCACATATGCAGAATCCATAAATTGGAGGGCAACAAATTGGAAGGATACAGTGTCGGAGATCTGTTTTGTGCACGTTGTAGTGGGAAGCACACCAGTGGCACAACAGCAGCCCGGGCAGCCACAGGAGACCAGGCCCATTCCAAGGACTTTGTTTAGATGCAACAAATCATTTGTCTGTTATTAACCCAGAGCTTGTAATTATGCAGATTGCCATAGATTTTCCTGGGCCTGGAAGTGAGATTGAGGGTTGTTCACACTATAGCAGGCAGCTCAGGGCTGGCCATGCATTACTGAACTTGCCACATTTATCATGTTGACTGATGGCAGCAGAAGCAGGTCTCAGGTCCCAGTGGTTAATGTAGTGGGTAATTAACTGTCATTTGCCTAGTAATAGGCTGATGATCAATGGTTTGTGTGGAAACAAATTCTAATCAGGTAGCTGATAAATGCTCAGGGAGCAAGAGCAATTGAAATTGGGGGAAACTATGTCCAGAATTTCAAAATGGCATTGTGGGGTTTTCATTATTATTATTAATGGGAGAAAACTATGTTCTTCATATAAACAGCTTTATCCAAAATTAACAATAGCTAATATAAATCTCAGATGTTTGTTTTGTGTGTGGTGGGGAAGAACTAACAGCAAGGACGGCCTCCTTCCCTTTACGTAATTGAAAAATTTTAATGTATCTGGTGCTTAGCTGAAGCAGCTTCTGTGGGGGTCTCTCATTTCAGGACTGTAGAAATCTCCACATAGTGGACTCTGGTGCAGTAAATCTCCATCCTCTGCAGTGCCGAATGACAATCCCAAATTGTTTCACTGCTTTGCAGCATGCAAACGGCAATGGTAGCCGCAATGGATTTCCAGTTTCTCAGGCACACAGACACAGCCCTGCAAAGAGGACATGGCTGTGGAAGGTGACACAGCCTGCACCTAGCACCCTCTCCAGAAAGGGGCTTCAGCTGCATCTCAAGTGTTCGGTTGTTGCACCTCAACTACCTAAGCATTGAGGTGCTGTCTGATCCCTCCACGCTGAGTGTGAAGACAGTGGGACTGTTCTCATGTTTGTGTTTAAATGTTACTGTTGTAGAGCCTTAAAGCCTGACTTTCCTTTTACTGTAACCATATAGAATAACAGTACTATGTACCTACAGTCCTTACTCAGTATATTCTGCAGCCTGGTCTGCTTTCCTGGTACAACTAAATGACCATCATCTTCTACATAGATGTGAAGGAAAACAGAGCTGGTGCTTTTGTCCGTGGGTATGGTCTTTTCTAATGCAAAGCCAGCCAACAACTGTGGAAGGCAACTAACCCTTGTGTCCTTCTTACAGATGAGGAATGAAAGTCTGAATGGGATTTAGATAACCTCGGTTAAACCCATGCATGATGAAGATAGAACTGGAACAGATTGTTTTACAAAGCGAATATTTATAATCTGTTTAAATAAGCTATAACTTTAGCAATCAGACTTAAGAGAACTAGAAGTTGAGTTATTCTAGCAAGAGCTGATGAGGATATCCTTGTCCCAGCACTTCTCCCAGTGATCATGGTAACCAGTGTCTCAGACAGGAGAAAAAGGGTCACAACTTTAAAAATAAACAGGCACATATTATGTAGGCAGCACACCTTAAGTAAAAGCAGAAGGTAAAAGGATTTAGAATTAAGTAGGCTTGTTGGTAACCCATGAAATTCAGTAAAATGGAGGAATGTGATTAAAAAACTGTGTTCATTTTTATGTTACCAAACTGAATTTTCTACAGAGCACCTTTGAATTCATTAGTTTAGAACTGCTTTTAATTTGGTGTTTCCCTTGAGAGCCATTATATTTTTCTGCTGTCAGCCTGATGTTGAGGAAAAAAAGAAAACTGGCAGATGTGGCGTTTTCATCTAGTGTGCTTCATAGTTAAAAACAGCATTAACTGCTATGCACAAGCAGAGCATTACTTTTAATAATCCATCACAACTATTAAGTAGTTTATTTAAACTTAGTTTCAAAGATTGCTGCCATGTAGAGCTAACGTATTTTTTTCTTGTTCATTATAATCCTTCTATGTCACAAAAGGATGCATATGTATGTTTTTTGTTTTTTTTTTTTTGTAATACACCCACTTGAAAAGTACTGAAAAATCTTTAACAAAGAGAGTTTTAAAAAAATGTATATAGATGTCTCGCAAAAACAGCATTTCATATTGTTCTTCCAGTATTTTATACTTCTACTCCTGATGTGACTATATATAGTTTACAGCCTCATTTACTTTAATGTGCTACCTGAATAACATAATCATAGCAATAACTATGGTATAGGGTTGTAAGGTGCATGAACCGCTAATGCTTTCTGACGATTTAAATGACTTGTTCATAAAATGTTCTTTTAATAATAGTGGTAAAGCTTTTAGCACTAGATGTCAAAAATGCGAAGAATATTGGCTTTTCCAAGTGTTATTTCTTTTCTAGCTAAAGTGTGTTTTAATAATAAATAGCACCAAAAGCCAAGGTTATGTGGCTCTCGTCTGTACAGCAGGATCCAAGCAGAAGACTCTTCCCGCGCATGCAGACAGCTTGACCTCTGTCTGCACAGTTATGTAACATCCCTAATGTGTTTACTATTTCTTTGTTTAGTTTAACAAGATGTTTCTTTTATCAGGAAAGGTCAATATAACCTGCAGAAAAAAATAACATCACAATAGGTGCAATATTAGTCTGTCACTGCTTCATAAAGCTCTCTCCGGCAAAAAGGACTATGCCTTTGTATTGTAAATTGGACAGAGTTGTACCACCGAAGGCCAGCCTTTCCAAAGGGAGGTGTGCTGGGAAGTCAATCAAAGGCCAGGCAACTGCTGGGGGAAAGAAAAAAAAAAAAAAAAAAAGAGTGTGGTCTTGTTTTCAGTTAAGCATCTTCAGGAATATATTTCTTTCTGTATCTCCAGGTTATTTGGCGTTACAGGAAACTGTGCTGCCTGCAGTAAGCTCATACCTGCTTTCGAGATGGTGATGAGAGCAAAGGACAATGTTTATCACCTGGACTGTTTTGCATGTCAACTTTGTAATCAGAGGTAAGAGAATTTCTTGGGTCTGTTCCATAAGCTAAGTGCTAATTCGGCACTGGTGCAGGCATACATTCAAGTGAAGAGAAAACATCTACCAGTAGTAGAAACCCAAGATTGAGAGTAAGACCTGGATACTTTTCCTGGGACTGATGCAGAACATCTTTCATGATCTTGACCAGAAAACTTTTTGTGCCTCAAATCCTGCATAAATAAAAAAGAATAATGTTACTTCCTCTCCTTCAAAAGGCTGTCTGTCAAGTTTAATTAATTAATATTTATAAAGGACTTTGAGATCCTTTTCTGCAGAAGAGCATAGCAGTACCATTCGTCATTATTACATTAATTTCACTTTAATTCTTCATTTTTATCATGTGTATTTCTTTTAAAGTGCATGTTGTTTCTTCCTGTTGCCAGAAGTGTAATACTTTAAATTTAAAAGATATTGTTCCCATCGTTTTGCTCTGTAGCAGCATTGGACTTCTTATGCCATATTTTTATTTCCATATCTTAACTGTAGGTTATAAAAATCCCAGGGATCCAAACCTGACACTTTGTTCTGAAGCATCACCTATATAGTACAGTTGCAGATCACATGTCAAAAATGATAAAATTGTAACAACTGAGGTGAATACAGCTGAACTTATAGCAACTACATTCAGAATGGTAGCCAAATCGTGTCAGAGATTTCACTGAGATCTCCTTTCTGACTCCATGAGAGCTGCTAGCAGCTTTGCCAGTGACTTCTATGAGGTCTAGGAAATGAGAGAACCAATTATGTCCACTCCTTAATGTACCTATTATTTTCAGGTATTACATGATCCTATTTAGAGTTTTATAGCATTCATATTTTTTTTCATTTTCAGGTGGGAAGAAACACAAGATGTACGTTAGGGAAGTAACAAAAAATTAGGAAGATAATAGTCTAACATGACAAAGTTAGATACAGCTCTAAATAAGCTTTGCTAACTCACCTTGTCCTACAGTGTATTATTTTGTAACACTGTAGTAATTTGAAAATCAAACATCCCTAAAGAACCATAAAATGTACAACTGCTAATAAGTGTAGCACACTACAATTACGCTCTTTAAAAAAAGCCAAATTGACCTTTTTCATCATGTTGCATGGGAAATTAAAATACCAGGCAAGTAATAACCACTGCTTAAACTATATAATAATGCAAAGTAATTATAGGTTCTAATGCTATTTAAAGTCCTATATCAATTTTGTCTTGCCACAGAACTAAGAGGCTGTATTCTGAGTAAGGCAGGCAGAGCCTCCCATAGTACCCATTTAAGTAAGACACACGCACACTCCTAGGTTTCGTTTCTTAAACCCTTCACAACCCTGTTTTTTTCAAACCACGGTTCTAGTATCATTATTAAAGCACCTAATACATTTCTGTTGTTCGCTTCATTTATTACATGCCATAATGGGGCTGCATATCTTTAGTGTTGGTTATGCACAATTAGCACTTAGTTATTGTCTTGTCACTTCAGCCCATACAAGACAAACTTCTTTAATGTAAGAAGTCAGCTAATCTTCATCAGTCAAGCAAAGCAGACAATGTTTGTTACCCTGAGTGCAAAAGATTTTCATCATAGTTAGCACTGTTGGATCTGAGGAAATGAACTTTCTTTTTCTTCCCAGCCTATCGCTAT